TAGTTCTTGAAAAAATAAAATTCAACTAGGACTACTGATTTTATTTTATATTTTCTTCATCTGAAATCTTCACAACTCAGTACTCCATAAAAGAGATTAACATGAAAATTATGTCAAGATAAAATTCATAAAAGGAAAACTGATTGCAAAACAATTTTAGTTTGTTTGGATAAATTTCACCATAAACACTTATAGAATAAAAAATAGGAAAAATAAAATGAAATAAGTTTTTTCATAAGGTAAAATTAACAAATGTACAAGTTAAATTCAATTTTGGCAGAAGTTAAATGGTTTTTAACTTCTTCAAAAAGTTGATTTTAACTTATGCATAAGTTAATTTTAACTTTTAAGAGAAGTTCATTTTTTTTGGAAAAGCTTATCCAAATAGGGAAATACTCTTAGAATATATGTTTTGAGACACCAACAAATGCTATATTGATATAACTGAGATGGATATAAATTAGGAAAATCTTGGAGTATATTCAAACTCACACATGAACACATCTGTGAGTACATTCAAACTACTTAAGTTAAATCTGAAACTAGGTGATATGGATACTTTTGCCAACCGTAGTTGATATGATTATTTAAAAGAATATATAAAACTATGAATTTTGGATGTGTACATGTCCTTGTTTCTTAGATCTGTTCATAAGGATTTGGATACCTATTATTATAAAATAATTAATTAAGGGATCTGATAGTACCTATGTAAGAAAACTAACCTGAAAAATGAGAAGCTTTTTGGTTAAATCATCAGAACGATGCAGCTCAATACGTGATATACTCTCAGAAGAAATCTGCAGCTTATAATCCGTTGACAAGTAATGAAAAAATATATACATTTTTCTCAATCTGGACCCGAATTTAACTGAAGCATTTGGATGTTCCCAGAGTACACTTAGTTTGTCCTTGGATGTTTGACATCCAAAGTGCACTACTATATCATCCATGCAGTGAGGAAAGATCCTTGACTTTGGCACAATGACATCTTTTATTTCTGTAGCATTTAGAGCATATTCATTGTAAGATAGGTGCTGAGTAACTAAGAGCAAGATTGTTTCAACACTTTTTCTGTCTGTGAATTGAACATTAACATGTGTTGTAGTATCTGCTTCTTTATTCTGCCCAACCTCTACAGCATGAACAGTTTGGGGGCCTGTATGTTGCTCCAAAAATTTCTTCACCTCTTCAGCTAACACATTAGATGGAAATCCATGCATTTGGATTGTCTTTCCCATAGTGTTCAATTGATTAGTTTACCTGAAATTTATATCTGAAGGACAAATAAGCGTACAATTCCTTAACTTAGAAAAATATGATTTGCATTTTTATGTTCAATGTGAATGTTACCTTGTAGAACAATTAGAGAGATAGATCACATTTCCTTTGTGATATTTCATAGTTTTGCAAATATAACATATAGACACTTCTTGCTTGGAAAAAGAAAGAAAGAAAACTAAAGGATTTTTTTTTTTTGCTAGGATACATTTATTTAATTCATGGAAAATGGATATAAACAGTGTGAGCTTTTAACTTGTCTCAAGTAATGTATATCAATAACCCTGTGCAGAATCCATGTATCAAGGTAAAAATACTAATAAACAACTATATATAGAAGTTGAGGAGGAGCAACTAAGAAAACAACTTCAATTTGGTTAGAATGTGATTCCAAAAGTATGGTTAATAATACAATTGATGGTCTGAGAGACCAGGTTCTTCAAAGAAATTAGACTAATTTTGTTAGTCACAACAAAGAAAGAGCATGGTGGAAATCTGTTTGTTTAACTAATGTTACTCTATTTTTTTTTTTTTTAATGTGTGTATTCATATTTTCTTTCCTTTTAGGCTATGGTTGTCTCAAATATCAAATATGCAGTTTATTTCACGCTACTGACAATGATAAGTAATACCTTGTTTGACAATTCAATAAAACTGTTAAGAACAATTTATTTGAAAATATTCCCTATAGAGATTAAAATGAACAGTAAACTGATAAAATTTGCAATTCAGGAAGGCCTTTAGCTTGCAATTAGATCATTAATAATGCAGAGCATTTTCATGTAATTACTAATTAACTATTATATTTTAGTTAACATGTTAGTTTCAAGAAGATAATAACATTTACTCTGACAAGAATTCTTTGCTTGGTGGGGAAGAGACAGAATAGTTCAAATACTAAAATAGAGACAAATTATATCATTATCATTAAGAAGACAAGAACTAGCTTTTAGCTGGGGGTGGGGGAGTTGTGATATTTCTTATCTTGAGGATAAAACAAACAATTGCCAAAATATAAAATCCATTCTCGGGTCATAATTTCAATCCTATTATCAATTTGAAAATGACGTATTCCTGAATTGGAAAATTAAGAAATAATAAAATAGAGACAAATTACATCTATTGTAGGTCTTGATTTCAATTCCATTGTCAATTTTAACATCTTGTATAGATGGAACATAGTTATGCTATATACCCAAATAAGTTTTCACCTTTAGTAAGTCTGGCAACTGCGAAATGTACTGTGGTGAAAGATTTTATACTGACAAGTGACAACGTTTGCTGCTTGTATTTGAATCTTAACATGTAGAGAAAGGAAGATATAAATTTCATTATCAAACAGTTATACATGATTTTGAATAACACATTACAACAATCAAATTATCCAATAGATGTTCAAACTTTTAAATCAAACACTTGTAATCTTGAAAACAATAAGAGATTCTATCCATGTTAGAGCACTAACTTTATATGCAATTTGTAGAGTGTCTTACACAAAAGTGAACCAAATTACCAATGTATAGCAAGAGGCAGCATCAGCAGCACTTACAACTGAAAACATGCATTTTCATTGCTTCAAATGATGAATCAAATTGATAATTTACCAACATGTAAGGAGAAAGAATGCTCAAAGGAAACCTCTCTAGTTACACTAGCCAAATGCAGTTTGAGAAAACCAGGACATGCATAATGGAACAAGAGGAAAAGAGTGTCCTGCTTTACACTTTATATGATTGTTAGGCTAGAGTATACAACATTTTTCTTTTCAGAATAAAAAGAAATGGTAGCATCCCTTTTCTATTATGGAATTTTTTTATTTATATTTATGTCTTTTTATTAAATTTATTAGATAATCATTTATTCATCAGTATTATTATTATTATTATTATTATTATTATTATTATTATTATTATTATTATGATTATTATTATTATTGGATTCATGGCAAGAACAATAATTTACTATTTTTTCTCAAATCGATGAATTGTTATTTTTATAAAATTATTTTACACATAACTCTGCAAGTCTTCATAGTTTTACTTTTAGATATTATACAAAATATTTTTCAAACATTGAAATATATGTATGTTTTAAAAATTCTTATTTCTCTTTTTATTTTATCGATGTGAGATTTTATTTATATTTCAACATGTAAATATATACCGTATAAAATTATTTTATATTATTAGTGAATAACCTATTTTCTCTCTTCCACTAATTTTTTTTATAACTTAATTTTCAACCAATATTTTAGTGTACGTATATGTACTTTTTTTATTTTATAACTTTTTATTTTCAATCCATATTTTAGTGTACGGAGGTATATGTGCTTTGCCTTTTCCCAAATAGGAGGGCAAGTATAGAAACGCGGAAGCTCATACTTTTCTTTACATTACATTCCCCAACATAGGAAAAGGAAAAGTATGATTCAGTCCAATGTAATGTCCCTACCTATTAGTTGAACAGATTGATACGTATGATTATTCAATTATAAAGGATAAATGATTCTTTCGGTTTCCCCTACTACTTTCACATTTTTTCTAACAATCTTATTACAATAAAAATAATACACCTCCATTCCTTTGAGGCAAAGAACCTATTGTTTTCTTGAATGTGCTATGGAGGCCAAGAGGAAGTTAGAATATAAGAGTACTCATCTTCGGATGGTTTAATTAATTTAAGGGGTGTATTTATTTCAAATTTTATAAAATTTTAAAAGACTTTTTTTAAATAAACAAGTATGTTAGTATTTAATCAAAGATTTTATGTCACTTAAAAAATAATGTAGTGATATTTAATCTAGATTTTCAAGATTTTTTAAAGAATCTATTAGTATTCATTTGAAACTTTTTACAACTTAAAAACAATCCATTGGTATTAAAAAAATATAAGGATTTTAAAAAATTATTGTATTAGACGGATTTTGAAGAACTTTTTAATAATATCTATAAATACCAAATTCATAAAACAATCTCATTCAAACCCATCAAAATTTGGAGGATTGTTTGAAATGACTTTTCAAGTACTTCAAGAATTTTCAAGTGAGTTTTTCATCTTTTTTTTTCATGCTCTTGTCTTTCTCCATTTTTTTTTCTATTAATAATATTGCATTACTGCTCATATATAATATTGTACTATTGTTCCATTTCATTCCCCTATTTGGTGAAACTCCAGTACATAAATGTCAGTGTCATTGACTTGTTATATTTTTCTCTTCATTCTCTTTAATTGAGTTACTTTTATTTTTCGCTATTTAGTTGAATTTGTTCCTCAAATATATAACAAAGAAAATTCTTGAAATTTCAACTTTCAAGTAGTAATTTTTTTATAACATGCGTCAAGAAAAAGGAAAACTGAAAGCTGAAATTAATATCATGATCTCTCCAATCAACCGTAGATCTTCAAGACCTTGTAATAAAAAATAGCGATCTCTCTTCCTTTTTTGAATTTGTTACTCTTATCTTCTTCCTTTTATGACTCAACATTTATTTTATTTCTTTTTTTTACTATGAATTTTATTTTGTCTGAATGCATCTCTCTTTCATTTTTTTGGTAATCTGATGTAAAGAAGAAAACAAATTACCAACCAGGGGCTATGTTAAGAACTCCAAGAGGAGTGGAGAGTATACACATCCTTTCACTTTGAGTTTCTCCCGGGTTTGAAAGTTATTGAATTTGAATAAAATAAACGTTAATTGACCATATTAACTAAACAAGAATTTGAAATTGAATGGATAAGAGATGAATTATGATTTTTTTTTTTGTCGACAAAATTAGGTTTTATAAAGTAAACATGTTTCTGGGAAAGGAAGTCCTGATAGATTACAAGGTTAGACTTTTTTCCCTACAAGACTCCTTAATCAATTTGTTGTTCCATTTTCCAATGGTGTCAATTCAACATCCTGGATAGCTACAAGCTTAGCTTTTCCACCATACTCTTCTGGGAGCACCTCTTCACCAACCTCCCTTATAAACGCCCTTGTCTCATCCTCATTGGTTACAATCACAACCTGCATTCACCATCCAAAACTCATGGAAGTTAATCAAGATTCATATAGGACCTTAAAGTGGGGAATTGAAGGATGTTAAATAATTCTTAAGTGGTCAAACGTAATTCTAAGCTATGAAGCTAGAACTTATTTCCCTTCATATGAGTAAAAAGTTGACTAAAGTAGCTAATCAACTAGTATTATGCTTTAAAACCATATTATAAAAATACAATTACTGTAAGTATAAACAAAAATACAAAGCCCAGACACCATATTTTAGGAGACAAAAACGAAATGTTGAAAGAGGGGACCTTTAGTTTTATAAATGTTTCAATTTATTCCTTCATTCAAATGGTAACGATGTTTCTAATAAGAACCCTAAGAGAGTTACAGCACAATTAATGTCTTCCTCTTGCAGGAAATCAAAACAAAAATCAGTAGCAAGGTCAAGTATGAGGCCAAATATCAAGAAATGACCCTAACTTCCTGACTTTTTTTTTTTTTTTTAACAGCAAAAGAAATTTATTAATCTGGTACAAGGGGTACCATAAACCCATTTACAACAGGAGAAGACATAGAAAACATAAATTGAACACATAAATTTGTTTGCCATCACTATAAAACCTCCTCCTTCATACCCTAGGACAAATGCAAAGACCAGGGTTGCTACACCATTGTGAGAATGTAAATTGAAAATTCTTCTTAAAACTTGACAACCACGACCAAGATGTAAAGAGAACGTCCTTAATAATTTTGTCTAGATCAAAGCCTTCATGTTCAAACACATAGATTTTTGTGCCTTTACAAGGTCCACATAGTCACACTCCATATTACGCGCTAGGTTTCCACTTCTGACTTGGACAATAATGGACCCGGAATGAAGCCAAAATGTTGTTCTAATGACAGTGGTAGGGGAGAGGGGCAATTTAGCCAACTGAGCCATTGTGTCCATACCTTATCTACTAGAAGACATGTGCAGAAAATGTGTGAAGAACTTTCAGGTTCTACTTTGCAAAAGGCACATAACATCTCTTGAGAACCTAAGATGACATTTCTTTTTACCAAATTATCAACTGTTGATAGTCCCCCTTGCAACAACCTCCACATAAAAATCTGAACTTTGGGGGGAGTTAAAGTATTCCAAATTTATTTAAGAGTTATGGCTTAAGTGGACCTAAAGACTTCTGCGTGAATAGTTTTATAAGTTGACCTAATTGTAAACAAGCCAGAGGAATCAAGCTTCCATACCCATGAGTCTGATAGGTCTTTGCAAAAAGTGATACTCTTAATTGTATGTAACATAGCCTGTTCTTGAGCTAGCTCCCATTCGAACCAATTCCTACGCCATCTGAAATGCCATACCCAACCAGCTTTCGACCAGCACCCCATATTATCAATTGTGTCATGTTTTTGTTCTGAATTTAGGTAGAGCCTCAGATATGTTGCTGCCAGAGTTTCTGTTCCAGCCCATTTATCCTCCCAGAATTTAACCCTTGTCCCATCTCCAATTTTCCAGCTCACTAACTTATCAAACCAGCTATCCTCCATCTCGCTCCCACAAACCTTTAGGAGGTCACGCCACCAAATAGAATCTTTGCCAGAGGCATTATGTAGGGACATGTTGCTACCTCCTCCGTACCTTGAATGTAACACTTGTCCCCACAAGGTGTTTGGTTGATGGAAAAGGTTCCATCTCCATTTTTCCAACAGGGCAGTGTTAAACATAGTGATATTTTTTATACCTAATCCACCTTGTGCCTTTGGTTGAGTAATCTTGTCCCACTTAATCCAAGGAATCTTCTATTGACTCTCTTTGAACCCCCATAGAAAACTCCTCTGTATGGACTTTATTTGCCTAGCCACCTTCTTTGGCATTTTGAAGAAAGATAGGTAGAAGAGGGGTAGAGAAGCAAAAGTAGAATTGATCAAGCACACCCTTCCCGTCATAGAGAGCGTTTTACTCTTCCATAAGGACAACTTCTTTTTAAGTTTTTGAAGGATGGGGTTTCATGACTCCGCCCTCCTTGGATTCACTCCTATAGGCAAGCCAAGATAAAAGAAAGGGAAATGTAGAAGTTTACAATTCAACAGATAGGCATAGCTCTCCACTATGGATGGTTCCATGCCAACCGCTCCAAAATTACTTTTACAAAAATTGACCTTTAACCCTGATACAATCTCAAAGTACCGCAACATGCTTTTTATTACAATAACATTCTCAAGACAAGCTTCACCCAAGAACATGGTATCATCTGCATATTGGACTATACTAATGTCAATTTTGTTTTCACCCACCTTCAGGCCTCTGAACAAACTTTTTTTCTTTGCCTCCCTCATCATACCTGTCAGCCCTTTGGCAGCAACATTAAAAAGGAATGGTGCCAGAGGGTCTCCTTACCTTATGCCTCTCTTTAGGCTAAATTCATCAGTTGGACTTCCATTAACAAGCACCGATACATGGGCTGTTTTCAAACATTCACTTATCCAATCTACCCATTTGTGATTGAATCCCAAGCATTGTAGCATATAAAGGAGGTAATTCCAGTTAACTGAGTCATACGCCTTCTCATAATCCACCTTAAAGAAGATATTGCCTTTTTTCTCCCTCTTTGCTTCGTCAATAGCCTCATTAACCACCAGTACACTATACAACAAATTCCTCCCTTCTAAGAATGTGCTTTGTCTCTCATCTATAACACATGGTAACACGATTTTCAATCTATTAGCTAGAGTCTTGGATAGAATCCCTAAACCCTAAACTTCTTGACTTGTTATTGTTGTATCATTTACTTGATGTCAATTATGCATACAATTTCTATTCAATTTAGACAATTATTAATGTATTTTATACTTCTAATCTTGTTTTTAGTCACAAAATACTTAGTTGGGAGTTAATTTTATTTTAGGATTTAATTATTTAAATATTAGATATTTTAAAAAAATTTATATAACACAGGAAGAAAATACTTTTGAAACTCCAAGATACATAGGAGACTGCTCTGAACTAGTGAATTTCGTGCAAAGCGACCAAATTACGGCCCGAAGCAAGCCAAGTCAAAGAGCAACTCTAGAGGATTATGCCAACTCATTCAGAACAAGTTATTTAGGTGCTTTGAGTATGCAAAATTTGCTCACAACTACTACTCAAGCTCGCTCTAAGCTAATACCTTGCTTGGAGCTACTAATAGACTAGCTTCTATTGTACAAGCTCGTTAAAAGCGAGCCACATGAGCGCTCTAAGCGAGCACATCTGACCTAAACGTCCATTAAAAAATATTATAAAAATAAGGTCTCTAACATGTCTATGTATCAATGAATCAATACTTTTCAAAGTACAATTTTAGAGAGATTAGGAAAAGTTTGTGTCACGGGTCAATCAGAGATCTCTCTTCTCTTGTGTAATCTTTAGTCACGAGTGGCTAAGTTCTCTGCTTCTAGTATTGATGTCGTTCTCTTGTATAATTTTTAGTCATGAGTGACTAAGTTCTCTACCGTTGGGGGTTGATGTAGTTACTATACTCATGTAATCTATTCTATTCTCATTCAATATATTGTTTTTATTCGACGAATCTTTTACTTTATATTTAATGCTTGTTTTGATCAATGCATGATTTTATAATTTTAAATTAGGTTAGAAAATCCTTTTAAAATTACGATCCAGGAATAGGATTATTATCCTTATCCTTATTATTATTATTATTATTATTATCTAAATTTAAATTCTTCATAGCTTTGTTACATACTTTTTACGTCTATCATTCTATAAATTTTTTATACTTTACGTTAAACAATTTAAAATAAATCTATATGTTTAATACTAAATTTAATTAAACAAATTATAACTCAAATCAATGTGAATTTGATAACTTGAACTTTTGTCTAATTTACTATCTATGTTAATAAATATACTTGTTAAATGTGTATTATCCATAGAAGCCAACTGCAACTTTATTTGGAACAAGATCCAATGGAGGATGGTTAACATCTATCACCCAACTTGGGGGGGGGGGTGTTATTAATCATGCATGTGTTTAGTGTGCATGGTAGTAATTTAGTCCTTACTCCTTACATGTTAATCAGAATATTCGCTACGATTTGTGTCCATTCTAATCAGATTTTTTTCTACTTTTATTGTGTATAAGTTAGGGTTTAATTGCATATATTTATTGTATATATTCTCTGATTTAGGAGGTAAATCAGGAATTAGAATATTTGTAATTAATAATTGTAACTATGTCTGTTAGGATACTATGCTACTGAAAAACTAACGCTAACAAAATAGCTTCAAAATAAAGGTAATAGTCATGCTTCTTGCTTTCTATTCCATTATCACATGTATATATAGCAAAATACAATGCCACATCATTGGCTCCCCGCACAAACAAATAACAGAAAAGAATGGGATGATAAGCACTACTAGGCAGTTATATGCTTTCCTACAAGTCAAAAGCTGTAAATTTATATTTATATTTCATTACACAAAGTCCTAATAATAGTTGGATTTCATTGTAGTACTCTTGGGTCGTGGGACTGGGTTGTGTTGCTATCATCATCTCTATTTATGAGAAATAACTCAGAATCCAAACAGGGCATCAAAAGCCTATTTTCTCATATTACATTACTTTGCAGTCATTTTGTTCTGTATAAATTCATGACCTGTACCTACATTGAGAACAGTTTTCCAAATTCTCCTACAAGAACCATATTATGAAGTAGTTATGCTGTGGCGCAAGAGTAACCTTTTATGTCTGGCTTACAAGGTACCTAGATCCTGTAAAGCTTAAAAGAGGGTTTTGGAGTAGTATGCTTTGATGCTTTAAGAATTAAAGGGAAAGCAAAATGTCATTTGACTTGAAAGTTAAAATGGAATCACAAACACTTGTATTTCTTGTCATATTGTATACTATTCACATTGGATATGATTTAAGTGATAAGATTATTTGGTCATTTTTTTTGTTATAGATATATTTTTATCAAAAGAAGAACTTAGTTATAACTGATAGGGTTATTAATTTTATGATATTTATCTTAGAGGATATTTTATAAGAGTTATTTTTTTATCAGAGGAACATGATCTAATTTTATTCATAAATCTAAAAAATTTGTTATACAAAATCAAATATTGATATTATCCTATTATAAAATAAGGAAACAAAAATCACTAGGGTTAGCCTAGTAGTTGGGTGGGAAGGGATTGGGGGTAGTTAGAAGCATGAGGACCTAGATTCAATTCTTATTGCGACCATCTTTGTAATCTTTCTTATCTTTATCAAAAAAAAAAAATTATGGAAACAAATCCTAAAATAATCAAGATTAAATCTAAATATTTGAAATATAAATAAAATATTCTTATTAAAAAATAATTTATTCTCCTAAAGATATTTAGGTATACTCCCAACAACAACAATGTTGGAGACACTAACAACTGTAGATTTAGTTTTCTGTTAACTCTTAACACAATTCTGTTACAACTAACTGCTGAGACTGCAGTTAGTTATACAGCCCGTCAATATAAATCCTAATAACCCTGTACTTTGAGTTGTTGAATGCTAATAGATTCAGAGATTCTTCTCTTTGTATGCACTCTCATCTCTCACTCTTTATGCTATCCTGTCCAACAAATATGACTAGGATGGGATCTCATATTATCACATTAATAACTCAATAAAATTGATTTATAAAATAAAGATTATTTTTTATTTATATACATTATTTTGACCATATTAAATTGTAATGAAATCTTTAACAAATTCCTTTTGATAGAGTAAAAATAATATATTCTACTCTCATTACTAGGAATATTAACTTTTAGTTAACAAGTTGAATATATTAAACAAATATCATTCCTAATATATCTAATATCCCATTCTACCTGCTTTGATGGCATACCGATACATGGAAAGGTATATTAATTTCCAATTCAGATTGATTCCAGAAAAAGGAATCACTGATGGGTTCGATGTGCATTGAGATCATAAATCCATGGGAGATTTTTAAAGATGATGCATGTAGCCAATGAATTACAATTGTGCACAAGCATAAAAATTCAACTTAAGATAATTAATAAGTACCTTTTCTAGTGTAGCTTTCTCTAGGAAGCGAGAAACTAATTTCCAAACAGCCACAAAAAACCATGGCATGTGCAAAATATAGCACTTTGCTAAACGTTCAGGGTAGTAATCCTGCAATTCAACCAAAAAGCATTAAAAATAATTTAAAATATATGCTGTATTTTACCTTTCAAATAAATGTTGATAAAGGCCACACTAAATTGATGCTAATTTGGACATGATATAAACAGTGATTTTGATCAAATATTCAATAAAGTGAAAGTGTGATTTTATATATTGGCATTTATGATATGCATGAAAATTTCAAGGAAAAGCACAAAGGAAGTTTTACCTGTAAAAATTGAAATCCTGTGATTAACCCCCGTGCATCAACATTTTTATATGAAATATTCTTCAGATCAATAATCCCAATCAACTTTTCATTTCCTACTTCCCTTCCTTTGAAAGCACTGCAGATGAAAACGATTAAAATTAATTTCAAAATTTTCAATGATATAAAGAGAATAAAGACAGATCACAGATGAAAATTACTTTCTGATAATAAAAATTTTATTGTTTGTTAGGAGGTAAAATGTACTAACTTTATTTTTAAAATGAAGCCAAGATATTGCAAAAAAAATTCCCAACTTGAAATTAAAAAATTTAGTCTTAGGCTATGGAAAGTAGAGATCAAGTATCAATCACATTAAGTAAAACAGATATAATCCTTCTATAATGCATAGTCAGCAAGTAATTTAGTTTTAGACAATTGAAAAAAGCATCACAGTAAAATTATAGTACCTTGCAATTGTCTTGTCCAGAAGATATACAACAAATTCTGAATCAATAAAACAAAATAGAGTAGTCAGTCAAACTGGCAGAATTAAAAGGAATTAGTGAAATAATTTTATGAAACCATGCATGCTCAATCCCAGTAATCAAATCAAAACACAGTTACGAATCACTAAATTAGTAATCATCAGAAATGGTCATATGGAAAAATAGAAAGGAAGAATTGAAAAGAAAAAAAAAATTAATATAATCTAAAATTACGTATTCAATATGTTGACTTCACTTGCTCTTTTTATTGATTTTACCTGATTTATTATTTTTATTTTTATTTTTTAGTTTATGCAATGTTTGAATCGAAGGTATACACCCTCTCAAGAGCCATCAATATGGTTTCTCTGTAAATATTAGGGTGTAAGCGGGCATAACTCACCTACAAATTTAACCTATTCGAATCAACTCAATTACATTTTTGTAAGTTGGGTGGATAATTTTAATATTACCTGATTATAAATGAGTTGAGTAACAAGTTAGAAAGTTTGTTACTCAATGAACCTGAGCTAACTTGACATAACTTGACCTATAATAAATTATTAAATTAAATTAAAAATACTACACAACGCATAATACACATCTTTGTATATATTTAATTCTACTTTGTTTTCACCAAATATTTTAGTAATGAGTTGATTGACTAAATTAAAGAAAACATAGAGTACAAACAATAATTTAATTTTACTTTTTATGTAATTCAAAATTTGTTAGTTCAAAAGATAATGTTTGCTTGTTTGAAAAAATATTTGTATTTTTTCACGTTTAATTGTTGTAATATTATTTGTGCTTTGAATCATGTATTAAAGTTTGAATTAAATATTTTTTTGTTTTTTATTTGTTTCAATTTTTTAAAATATATTTATTTTTAATTGTTTAAGTCGATGATTCTACTTGACTCAAATTGATTGTAGTCCGATTGGTTTGAGTTTCATCATTTAAAAATATTAGAAAAGTACTTTTACCAATTTTAATGTAAATTTGAAAGTTGAATGCATAAATGAAGAAAGAATAAATTGTTACTTTGAAAATAAAATTACTTATAAACTCTCCCAACTTATTTAATTAATCGACACAAATGCAAAATAACGTGTTTCAAAAATCAAAAAATTTGAAAGCAAAAGACACATTAATAGAACTATGAGACAATTGGACAGAGTTCAATAATTGAAGTAGAGACACAGCGTTTGGTTTGGTACATCTATCATCAGGCACCAGAACCACAATTAATGCATTCAACGACTTATATAAATCCTCGACCACAAAAGAATGCATATAACTAAAAGTTGCTGGATATGCCCAGAGCCTCATTAATGTTTGACATATTCATTTCCCTAATTTTTCAAATGAAAACAATTACTCCACTAAATATAATGATAAGCATATAGGGGTAAATATACATTTTTAGTGCTTGTACATAGAACCATTAAAATAACCATGATCTAATAAATATTTTAATATTTTAAATTTAATAATGACTTGATCGTGCGAGGCCCCAGCAGGAGAAGTTGGCCATGCAGGGGATAACCCTAATCAAACCATTAAATTAACCTTGACCTAAGTGGCATATCCCAAATTTTGGCCTTTAAGCAAACAATAATGTAGTTTAATTAATTAATTCCATAGGTGAAAAGAAAAAGTCAAGGAACGAGAACCAAGTGAAGCGTAACACAAATTTTAAGTTAGGATCTCTCTCGTGGAATATTCGCCTAGTGGTCCCCATTAGCAATGAGGACAAATCACATGCAAATGAGTAAATGACATATTTGAACTGACACTAAACTTTCCACATCCACATGACAAAAGACATTGGAATTTTATTTAGACTTTATGAAGATTGTTAGATGATTTTTGATATAATTTTTAAAATAATTATTAAATTTAAATACTTTTTTATTTCTTATAAAATGAGCGAATTTTATTTTTAGTATTTAATTTTTTCTATGAAATCATTATTTTTAGTATCCTATCATTAGGTGATGTTTATTAACTTTTTTATGTATTTAACTAAAATTTAAGTAATTATCTTAAATAATATTTACTAGAATTTTTATATCAGGTTAATATATGACATTTTCTAATTTATCTACTTAAATTGATTTTTATGAACAAAAAATAATTATTTCATATTATAGAGGAGTGAAAATCAAATAAAAGATTTATAAGAATTAAAATTAGTTCAATTTACATCGACTAAAAATAATAAATTTTAAATTTTGAAGAGGTAAAAAAAATATTTTATATGAATCAAAATCAAAACTTGATTATCATATGAACATTTAAAATATATTCAGTCTAATTGTTATAAAAGTTAATAATTTTATTTTACATAGCATTTTATTCTAATTAAATTATTTTATTCTTTATAAAAACAATAACTTCTTATACATTTAAGACTTAAGAGTGAAAATGTTGAAAAGAAAATGTTATATTTTTATATTTATGATAAATTCAATACGTATTTTTCAATAATAATATATTAATTTTAAATGTTTAAAATCAATTATAATGATAAGTAATAATAAAATCAAGACTTTTAATTTTGTACCCTATAAATAAGATAATATTTATTTTTAATCTCTAAAAATATTATCTTTTTTCCCCTCATTTATTGAATATATCATTATCAATTCTATTTCTAATTTTCATGACCAAGAGTTTAAAAAAAAAATTCCTAAATGACAAGATCACATCTAACATATATTTATATGTGAGATTTTGTTTTTTACAGACTGAAAGAGAACATATTCATAATTAAAAGAAGAAAAACATTTTTAATTTTAATTGTTTTATAAATATATAATTTTTTTAAAAATAAAAAAAGTGCTGCAATTTAACAAAGTTTAAAGAAGGCAATTACTCTTGAATTGAATCTGATCCTTGGAAGGGAAATGTCTGCATGTTTGGACAATCATCACAGGAAATTTATCCTTAGACAAGCCCTGCAATAAGATCTTTCTTGTTTCCAATTCATCCCGAATTTCAGAATCTGAAATGAACCCATTTGGCACCATGTCAGCTCTCCATTTTTGCCACTGCACAAACATCTTTGCACCCTTTTCCACCTCCATTGATCGAGAAATCAAAAATCTCATCAGTGTAGGGTCCCCATAGCCCTACAAAACGTAAATTAAAACCCCTCAATAACATTAGTAATAGTAAAGATTACTTCCCTGTGCCAACAAGTTTAACATCTTTTGAAAGTCTAGATCATAAGTAACTTATAAACATCCTTTATGGGCTCATCAAGACTTCTTTTCAGAACAAAATCATGATGATTTATAAACATCATTTTTTAGTTCATATAAGACTTCTTTTCGATTATGATGAACCAACAAATGTTAGAGCAGATGATCAGTATGTTTGAAAATTAATTGAATTGAACTCGACTGATATTTAAAAAAAAAAAGTTATATTTACAAAAAAAAAATTATCAGATCACGTGTTTCTCTGATGGTAGTGATTTTAAATTGATACTCAAACATATACAATATCTCAAATGTAGTCACCTTATCGATGTCCGCAGACATGGAACATTGATGCAGACTACCTTTGCCCATCAGCTTCAATTAGAATTTATTACGGTTATGCTAAAAAATCTCACATATTTTGTGAGTTAAGGCTAAAGGTAAATTAAAAAGTCCTCTTTAAAACAAAATCCTGATAATTCAATGATTATCAGAATAAACGTAACTAAAATTAAAATCACTCATTTTAATCCTCATATTCTTATATAAGAAAAAAAAAATTAGAACTTATGAACTCATCACGTATATGTTCAAAGCCCGCCTTATTACTATTGCAATCCTAATGATTCTAAAATGAGCGAACTAAAACTAATTGTAGCCGAAAATTAGAATCTAGAACACATTTTAGGTTGAAAACAATAGCAGTAGAAGTTGGGAGCACAGAAACTAGTACATTAGTTGAGAAAATAAGAGATTGGGTTACCTCTGCAGAAGAACCAAGGTTCTGAACAGATTTCCTCATCTGGGTAAGTGCAAAATCACTTTGTTGATCCATTTGGGTGAAGAAAAAAGTGAGAGCAGGTCCCAAATAGGAGAAAAGTTGGAAGAGGGAAGGTATAGAGAAATATAAAGAAGGGGTAGGTGGAGGTTAGAGTGAGTAAATGAGGAGAAAGAAGAGTTTGTTCCGTTGAAAAAACGGAAACAAAAACAGAAAGAAATGAAGTTCGTGACAGGCCTCCCTCATTTTCCTGCTTTGCCATTCTCACATAACTCATAACCTCCACATTTTATTTATTATTATTTTAATAAGTCGGTATGTCTATTAATTATTTCACCCCAAAAAAATATCTATGGTTTATTTTATTTTATTTTTGAAATTTTTAACTAAATGATTAAATTAAAAATTATAATAAAATCATTTATTTTTATATAGGGCATTAGAATCTATTTAGGGTGACTTAAAATTATTTAAATAATTAATAAGAGAAAAAACACTTCGTGTATTTTTTTTTTTTTAAAAAATAGGCAAATAAATATTTTAATATAAAAAATGTAGTTGTTATTATTAAAGAAGATAATTTTTTTTTCATATACATTTTTTCTTATTTTATATTTAAGAGATTTATTTTTTTATTTTTGAGTAAATCAAAGTTTTTCAAAAAAAATGTTATATTTTTTTTAGGCTTTATTTTTTTTATATATTAAACTTATTTTTGTTAAAATTATCTTAAATTAAGTCTTTTCATATTTTATACTTTTTTTTTATCCTCACCTATGATAATATTATTAGGACACTTATTTTTTTATTCTTACAAAATTAAAGACCTTTATCATCTTAAAATAAAAGAGATGATGTTATAAAAAAAAATTAATAGTATGAGTTAAAAAGGATTAAAAAAGATAAGTAAAAGAATTAAAAATATATATTTTAAACTATAAAAATTAAAAATTATTAATAAATATAAATATAGAGACTAAAAATATTTATTTTAAATTATAAAGAGTAAAAGATAAAATAAATAAAATTATAAAATTAGAAATATATTTTAATTTTTTTTATTAAAGAAAGAAGTTACACCTGCTTGTAAAAAAAATTGCATTAGTGACAATGTAAGGTACCTAAACTCATACACAAGAAAATCAAATACATAAAATCCAGCATGCCATATGTTAACTATTATTTATAGCATAGACATAATAAAAATTAGGAATTAATTAGGGATGCCAAACGACTGACCGCTCAGAACATGTATAACCTTTTATATAAGGATGGTAAAAAAATCTCGTAATTCAAATATTTGTGGATAAAATTTGTTATAAATTATATATAAATAATTAAATAGATATTTGTTTAATATTAGAACAAGGATAAATAGTAAGATATCAGTATCTATAGATATTATATATGTCATAATTATTTATTTTTAAATAAATATAAGTTGTAAAATTCTTTTAAAATATAAATATGTTTAAAAATTATTTATTTTTAATTTTATTATATTTTTTATCTTTTATTTAAAGCCTTATATTTTAACAAATATTTATGAATATTCACGAATATATAAAAAAATCATTAATATTTATTAAATAAATACCTGCACTAAATGAGAGACAAGAGATAATACTTGTCATGTCCTACCTCATTAACATTCATTAAATATTATATTTGTGTATTTGCTATCCAGATTACTCAGCAGAATACCCTTTTACAATCTGAATTGAGTAATTCAGGTTGTTGAAGTTGTATTATTTTATGATTTTTATTTTGAAATTGTAGTCATGACACGTAGCATAGGTGATGGCTTACATACAAAGGACCAACACTGTTGACCGATTACATATACATGCAGGAGGCATGCCAGTGTGGATGATGTATTCAAGGAGCCTTATCAGAACCAGCCTCCTAAAGAGGTGCCTCATTAGGACCAGGCTAGAGTTGTGATTACTCTCATTCTTGGCTTCCTTAGTGGGTTTGAACACTTCCAACCTCAAAAAACCACATTTAAATATTGATGTTTTAATAATTATGTGCTTATATGTACATTTTTTTTTCAGGATATTGGCGAGTTGAAACTAGTATCCCATGGTATGGTGTTTAAAATGAGGACCCCATATTATCAGATATCGTATATGGTTAATGTAACCAAATTGAGCTCCCTTCTCATCTATAACGTATAGATGATAAATAAGGCATTATTGTAACACGATATTATGAATTATTATTTATTTAATTATATTATATAATTGATAATGTTGATATGTTGTTTTATTGTTTTAAAATTAAAGAATTATTATAAGTTTAATTTTTTAGAATCTTTTTACGTTGAGGTCAAAGTTAACCTAATTTAGGAGTATATAAGATTTTTTGTAAGACTTAAACTTCATAAATTTATTTATTAAAAATTATACAGAGAGATTATAAAGAGAATCTCTTAAGCAAAAGGAGATCTTCTTCCTTTTAATTTCATAGGAGAACTCTGACTCTTTCCTTGAGCATTATTTGTAGGAGTTGAGTTGGGATTCTAGGCTTGGGAGTTGAGAATTGGATGTTTGAAGTTGTAATATTCAAGAAAAGAGAAGCTTGTAGATTGATCCTTGTTGTATTGCATTTGTTCATTCTTTGGTTAATTCGCTCATTTGTGGCTTTGTTGTTGAATTGATAAGTGGAGGAAGTTGAAGTCTTAGGTTTTTGGGCGTTCTAGCATGTCTTGGAGAATTATTTATGATCTTCAGGCTTCTTGTTCTTGCATGTTGTTCAAATTGATGAATTTGAGTGGTTTAGCATGTATGGATGTATGTTGAATTGGAGAATGCATGTTGAGTTGGAGTAGATGCATGATTGAATTGTTTAAGCGGATGAACTTGGTTCTTGAGTTGTGTTTCTTATCTGGGTGTACTCACTCAAAGTAAGAACTTACTCGCTTAAAAGAGCTGATGCGACATGTTCTTACCGGAAATCTGCTGTAGAGATGATCCTCCGAGTAAGATTGGTGAGCCTCCTTCGCTGGTACGCTTGATGCTCCAAGATGGGGGTGGTACCTGCAAAAGAGATTCCGATGCTAAAGTTAGTGTTTGTGGGAATATGAATCTCGTATATGTAATGCACGTACCTTAATGTGAATTAGGGTTGCTTTGGGCCTTGGGCCTGAGATAAGATCAAATAGTGGATCTCGTCTGGAGCGGGATCCCTTGAGATCGGTTATGATTTGCTTAAATGCCGAGCTGACGCCGCGTGGCGCGTGTCCGAGGTTAGCTCGTGCTGTGGTACCGAGCTCGGAGCTCAGCTTCGGAGTACGGATAGTACACTAGCCCCCCGAGCTCCGAAGATTGTAGGTCGAGGAGTTAAGACTGAGCTCGTCGAGATCCATTTAAGCGCCGAGCTGACGCCACGTGGCACGTTAATGGAAGTGACGGTTATGTAATGATGGTTTGCGTTTGTCATGATGGTTTTCCATTAATGTGTCGTCAGACGTGCCCCTTGGCTGACACGTGGCGTGACCGTTTTGAATTTGGGAGAAAACCTTATTTTCTCTCACTCACGCCTCTTGGCTTCTTGCGCAAGCTACTTTGTGCACCTTCGCTTCCGTCCAGTCTCCGACGCTGTTTTCACAGTTTCCGCCGCCGTTTTCGGTAACCCCGTCACTATTAGGGTTGTTTTGTGAGGAAGAGTACCAGGTACTTCCTTTCTACAGTTTCCTTTTTTCTTTTCCCCAGATCTTCTTTTTCCTTAATGGCTGGTGGAAGTGATGTCGGTTCTTCTGTGCCTGCCAGGGGCAAGGCGCGCGGCAAGGCGGCGACTACCGAGAAAGCCATTGTCGAGAAGAAGGACACACCTCCGCCCAAGGGCCTGGAGCCAGGCATCCCTGGTTACGACTGGGTCAGGCGTGAAATGGCGGGGGTCCAGAGCATTTTTCGCTCCTTTCTTGAGGTTAATGGGATCTCGAGATTGTGTAGGGTTTGTGACCCTTCCATTTCCCGGATGATCCGGCTTGAACCCTGTCAGGCCGGTGAGGGCGTGTACATGGGGAAGTCTACCGACCCTCCCCATTTCTATATGTACCACTGTTTTTTTAGGGATTTAGGTGTCTGTCTTCCCTTCACTCAGTTCGAGTGTGATTTTTTGAACTTTGTCAACTCGGCTCCTTGCCAGTTGCACCCCAATAGTTGGGGTTTTTTGAGGGCTTTTCAAGTCCTGTGTACAGTTTTAGGGATAGAGGTGTCTCTTCCCGTCTTCCTTCATTTTTACCAGTTGAAGTTAGGCGTTCCGCCATACGGCATACTATCTCTGAGTGGGAGTAGGGATGGGGGTTTGTTTACTCTCTACTCCCAGTCGTACAAAAATTTCAAACAAGAGTTTTTCCGAGTCGCTCTTGTGAATATCGACCCATTGGAAGATGGGGTGTTCTACTTCGGCGGGCTGCCGAAATTTCCCTTCTATTGGTGCCCCCGACCGTCTAGGTTTCATGGGGTGGGCCAAGTGAAGCTGACGGCTTCGGAGGCGGCCGCCATCGAGAACCTCGCCGCGCTTCCTCGTCCGCTGGATTGCAAGCTCGTTCTGTCGCTTGCGAACTCGGCGTACAGGGAGAGGGGCTTGGAGAGTGAGTATTTTGTTTTTTGGTGGTTTGTCGGAGTTTGTGAAAATTCCCTTTGCTAATGTGTTTTATTTCCTGTCTGTAGGTATCATGGGGAAGAACTTGTGGCGTGAGCTAAAGCATCGCTACAATGTTACTGAGCTCGAGGTCCCCGAGCCTCGAGAGGAAGATGCTTCCCCCTTGAAAGTTAACCGAAAAAGAAAGAGGGGGCGAAGGAGGTCGGGGGGACCTCTGCCCCTCCAAACGCCGAGGAGGTGACCTCCAAGGCTGCCGATGCTGGTGGTGGACCTTACCGAGAGTCCACCGCCCAAGGGGGCTCCTCAGGTGGCCTTTGAGGAGATGGCTCAGACTGCCGAGCAGGTTGCTCAATCTGCCGAGGTAGTGAGTACCTTGTCTCTTCGGCTTTTTGGTGTCTTCTATTGTGCTTTTCTGTGTTCTGACCTAGGGCCGTCTTCCGCAGGCAGGAGATGCTGCCGAGGCGGCGACCCAGGCTGCTGGGCAGGCCGCCCATGCTGCCGAGGTGGTGGCTCCAGCCACCGAGCAGGTTGCCCGCGCTGCTGAGGTAAGTAGTGTTCCCTGATTTGCGTGATTTTCTGTATGTTTTCATTTTTCTTTTTTGATATGGCGCCGATTTTCGCAGGCGAGGTCGGAGGTTCCTATCGTGGACTTTCCAGTT